GATTTCCCCATACAAATCCAGTAGTCATCCTTTTTTCCATGAAATTGAGTTCCCTTTCATTTCATCAGTGTTTCTCGTATGGCAAATAAGTGCTTTAAATCATACGTTATCACATTACGAATATTTACACGTTTCGTCTAGAAGGTTTCTTCCATTAGAATTTTCCAGTCATCTTATTGCTTGTCCTTGATGATCTTATTCTTCCACACCGAACCATCTCAAAACTTATTATCCCGAACGATGCATATCCTCATTGAACATATTATCTTCATTGAATCACATCATGCTCTCCGAATGGATGCTTTGATCGATCTTTCCAAAGAATCCAATCATGACAGAAGTTTTTCCGTGTTTTTTATACTTCACATCAACCATTTTTTCATACATATTTCTCCACTAGGGCTGCATTTACAGTTTAGTGTTCCATCCAAGAAGACCTTAAATATCGTGTAGCATGTCAACATTTCAGTTGAATCGTTTCTTCATTAGATAGTCAACTAGTTGATTTAGTGATCGCTTGTATGAGAAGTGAGATTTTGTTATTTAAGGTGGAAATGATCAATGTGGCTGAATTGAAGAAGGACAAATGTTTCATAAAACTGATCAAAAAATTGCAAAAAGATATGGATGAATTGAAGAAACGTCACCAGAAGCAACGTGATTCAATTCAGAAACAGCAGGTTCGTACGTCAAATTGTTCTCTTTGAGTTATTCGCTTCATCAATTGAAAATGCTAATGTTGAGCAAGAGAGACCATAGATAATGCTCATCGCTGGAAATGCCTCAACGTATTCAAAACCGTTCGATTATGTTGATTTCTGGGAAATTTCAATATTTTAAAATCACATGCACATTGCGATTGCATTTGTTTGATCGTTATGGTCACAGTTATGACTTGATGGGATAGAGACATAATGACTGACTTGTTTAAGCAATCGAATGTGGAGAAGTTGATGTGTGATAGTCATAAACAGTCAAAGAAACGCACCGTGACTGGCACAGCATCGAATCATTCTCGACATCAAACGCTCTCGAACAGGCAGTCAGATCCATCGAATATATCACCCAATATGGCCAACAGTCATAAAGTTGGTCGTTTATGTGTGCAAATTCATTCTTACAATTCACTGTTTTTCTAAGATTGATTCGTTCATTCCTATACAAGCAGCGAATCTTTAAAAAATTCCAACCCACGAAGCTTGTCGAATCCTTAAACATTTGGATTCGTTTGAAAGATGATACGCATTCAGATGCGCTCCTTGGTAATGACCCAAACAGACGAGTGGTCAGCGATGGTTCGGAGGCATGAAACGGAATGCTATGAATTGCGACGTACACATATCAGGGAGGAGTTCGACCTTCTCAAGTGAGTTGTATCGTTGGCTGCGGTTATTCGGATGATATTCGGATCGATTCAGTTGGTCGAAATAATCATATAAATGATTCAATACAACATCAGACTATCACCGCAGATATTCCTTTCAGTAAGCTGTTGCTAGAGGCTCAAAAGCAGCAAATGAACGCACTGAAATTGCGGTTAGAAACCGAGAACAAGGAACTGAAGCAGACACAAACCAAAAAGAGTATGGACGATGCACGTGCGATTCAACAGGATAAAAGTATCAAAACGAAGGCCGAAAAGGATAGACGAGTGAAAGAGATGAACGAAAAAAACTTGAAGATGTTTTTCGAGGAACGTAAAAGGCTGGCCATCAAGTAAGTTTCATACTGAGTCCATTGAAATTCTTTTTAAATTTTACTAGTAATTTAACTGTAAGTAGGTGAATGTTTTTGAATCAATCCCTTCATTCTATAATTTCATCGTCAGTAGTTTTTATGGTAATAACGTGTTGTTGCGGGTGCAATAGGTTCGTTATAATGAGTTTTGATGTGTCTCAAGACGGATTCCATCTCATGTCCCTTCTTTATATTAAGGGGACAATTCTATAATATGCGAATTAAGGGGACAATTCTATAATATGCGACACAGTGAGAGTTCAGGAATTGAGAAAGCTCTTTAAATTCAGTTGACAGATGAAAGGAATGATTTGTTTGTTTAGATCGCAGAAGCATGAAGAACAGTTATCGAAGAGGCATCAAGAGCAATGTGAAGCGTTAGAAAAGGATGCTGTAAAGGTATGGCGCATTAATCGCGACAGTTAATCTTTTCAGGCTGAATGATCCACAGATGGCA